ATTTTATATCTTTGAATCAAGATAATTACTCAAGAGCAGTTAAAATATTGAAATTATGAAAGTTATTTCCTGACTTTATAATGCAATCTTAATTTATTGAATCATCTCTAAAATAATTTTAGTTATCAACATGTAGAGTACAATGTGGCAGTCTTGTAAAATTGCGTCTGGAATTTGTGGCTTACCACTTGAAAATGTTTTCACTTAGCATTCCTTCATTTACTCTTTATAATAATTTCATGAACATGAAAAATACTAAAATGCACTAAAGTCTCCTACACAGCACACCTTTCCTCACTATCCACTGTCATGTGAATGAGACCAACTTTCAATAGAATTTGTGATGATAAGAGTTAAAGGTTTTCTGTGATCAATCCTTCCCTGTGGTGGACATCATGACAGTTACAGGCCATTCGAAGACTGGCACTTTTGCTACATTCAAACTGTACATTTGTGTAATTTCACCCTATCTAAACCAAATACACAGGTGTTTGCAGAAGGTATTTTATCTTAGCAATGAAACATTCTTCTTAAGCTGAAAAACTGTACAGGTTCATGAGACTAAAATTTTCTTTAGGGTACGTTACAACAGATATTAAAAATATCTAGATATTTATTATTTTTTAGATATAATAAAACAGCAGTGCATACTAAGTGATTCACTTTTGGGGGGTAGTGTTTTGTGACAGGGTCTCACTATGTAGCCCATGCTGGACTTGAATTCATGACATTTTTATGTGTATGAATGTTTTTCCCTGCACATATATCAGTTCACCATGTGCATGCAATGCCCACAGAGGCCAGAAGATGGCATTGGATCTCCTGGAGTTAAGGATGATTGTTAGCCATCATGAGTGTGCTGGAAACTAAACCCAGGTCCTCTGCAAGAGCTGCTGGTGCTCTTAACTTCTGAGCCATCTCACCAGCACCAAATTCATGATCTACTTGCTTCAGGTTTCTGAGTACTTGGATGACAGGAATGTCCTACCATGCTAAACAAAATAATATTTTTTAAGGAAAATTGTATGTAGATTAATTGTTCAGTTGTAAGTAAAGCTGTGTTTATCCTTGTCTTTCAATTGAACATGAAAAATAATAGCATCTTCCATTGCTAAGTGTTCATAACATTTCATGTATCCTATAGTAAAATTTTCTGTGATGGGGGCTGGAGAGATGGCCAGCATTTAAGAGCAGTGACTGCTCTTGCAGAGGTCCTGGGTTCAATTCCCAGCAACCACATGGCAGCTAACAATTGTCTGTACCTCCATTTCCAGGGGAATCCAACACCCTCTTCTGACCTCTGAGGACATTGCATAACATCGACATACTTCCATACGTGAAGCAAAAAAAAAAAAAAGTAGTAAAATAGTAAAAAAATAAATTTCTCTGTGATGGTCTCTAATTTACTACTTTTAAATTTTTATTTATTGTTTTTATTTTATGTGTATGCATGTATTGCCTGGATGTAGGTCAGTGCACCCATGTTGTGCAATGCCCACGGAGACAGAAGAGGCTGTCAGATCCCTTGGAACTGGAGTTATGGACAGCTGTTAGCTGCCATGTGGGTGCTGGGATTTAAATCTGGGTCTTCTGCAAGAACAGTCATTGTTCTTGACCACTGAGCCATCTCTCCAGCCCCATAATTTACTACTTTTTTGTAGCATATAAAGAAGCAAAGTGGGAAAGATCACAGTCACCCATGGTTTCTATTCAGAGCTAAAAATTGAGAATATTTCTATGCTACTTCAAATCCTAGGTTTTAAAAGCCTTTTTGTTTATGTGTTGTTTATTACATTCTGTGGAAAGTGCTTCCTAACAATGAAGATGTGAATGTCTCTTTACATATATGACTGTAGATATGTTGTACACTTAGTAATATTCTTTCTGTAATCCTTTGGATGTATAACTAACTGTAATTTTTTTAAGTTATTGAGGCAGTCTTGCCAAAATTATGCATCTGTGTTTCAGGGCAGTTTGTCTGGTTGGTAACAAGCAAGACCTTTGCCACATGAGAGAGGTTGGCTGGGAAGAAGGACAGAAGCTAGCACTGGATTATCGCTGCCAATTCTGTGAACTGTCAGCAGCAGACCAGTCCCTGGAGGTAGAGGTGATGTTTCTCAGAATCATCAAGGACGTTCTGACAAACTTCAAACTCAAAGAGAAACGGAGGCCCAGTGGGTCTAAATCAATGGCCAAATTGATCAATAATGTATTTGGGAAGAGAAGGAAATCTGTTTAGTAGACATGAAATCCTGGGGGACTTCCTCCATCAGAGGTTTTCAAACACTCCTATGGTAATTAAATTTACACCTTGTATACAATTAAAAATAATTCTCTTGGAGTTATGAAGAGAGAGAATGGCCAGAGCTGTGTTTTAAATAGTATAGTTTGCCTCTGTTGTTTGGATCTGGGTCACTTTGTTCTCATATCATCTTTCTCTTCTCACACAAAATAGCACTCACTATTATCTACTGGTAGAGTGCCATCCTGGGTGCCTTGCTGAGAAAACTGTGCTTGTGTAATTTAATTCAAGTATTAGTTCAAAGCATGTAGTCTGTTTTTATATCCTATAGATCTTTAAAGGGAAAGAAATAGATAAATCCAAATAAGTAGTACACTATTGGACTTAATTTATCAATTTCTGGAAACTCTTGATTTGTTTAATAGAAACATATGGATTTATTTTTAAATATATAATCTAGTGAATCATATGATATTTCACAGATTTTACTTAAAATATGATTTGGGGTACAAGATGTTGAGTTACCTGCCCATGAATAAATATTTTATAGTTGATGTAATAATGAAAAAGTCTGGCTTTTTTGACTTAGGAATTTCTGTTCCCATTGCTATGAAAACAGAACAAAGCAAGCTAAGGTAGGATTGTTTATTCAGGCTCTCAGTTGAAGGGATTGCAGCCTGTCATAGCATGGAAAACATGGTGACAGGAGTCTCCCAGCTGGCTTTTTCCTCATTTCCTTCTTATGCAGTCTAGGACCCAGGCACATTCGGGTAAGTCTGCCCTACTTAGTTGAGCCTCTCTGAGAAGACTCAGACCTGCCCAGAGATGTGCCTCCTAAGAGATTCCAAATCTAGACATGTGAACAATGAAGATCCAACTTCACAGTTATCAAGAACAATTCTCACAGAGAAATTAACATAAGATTTATAAGATCCTTTACAAATTGAAATAAAAAAAAACCACCTAGTGTATTTTGGTTCATTTAGAAACCCATGCATCATAGTGGGAAAAGTAAAAATGGCTTGGTGAATGAATAAGTTTGAAGACTTTGTTAACTGGAATGATTTTGGATCAAACCTCATCACATTACTTGGGTTGCTATCTCTTTTTGAAGGCAATGTTATACCTTCTAGACCACAATATTGATGCTGTTCTTATTGATATTTTCCACTTCTTATCATTCACACTGAAGTTATTGGCTTAACATCTGCCAAGTTCTTGATAATTAAAGTTGTGTCTCAATAATTTCTTTCTACTAGTGAATTACATGGCTTCCTCCATGTGGAACCATAGTGACACAGACCTTGGACTGGTGCTAATATTCAAATTTAAATTGAACACTTTCTAGGCACCAGGGCTATCTATTGCTACATGAATGGGGACTAAATTACGCTGTATATTTTATCCTAGAAAGTTCAGTTACAGACTTTGTGATCACTTATTTATAAAGATTGTATTAATCTTTTATATTTCAATACTAACCTTATATATGATATTGACTATATATAAACAGCATATTGGCATTATATGATCATATATGTATAGTCTCTAGTCTAAGTAGATATATTTTAATTTGTTTTGCTATTCTTTTAATAGCCTTGTTTTATTACTTGTTTGTTTTCAACTATGTGTGTTTGTGTGTGCGTGTATGTGTGTGTGTGTGACTGTCTGTGTGCATTTGTGTGCGGGACGTGCAGGTTAGTGCAGAAGTCTGCAGAGGATTCCATAGAGCTGGAGTAGCAGATGGTTGTGAACCATCTGACTGGCCAAATGTGGGTGCTGGAAACCAAGTCAGTTTCTCTGCAAGAACAGCAAATGCTCTTAACTACAGCCCTGGTAGTCTTATTTTTAGAGATCTTGTCTCTGTTTCCTAAAACACTTTCTATAACCAAATGAAAATTATTTAGGGATGATTTTGCCTTAAAATAACGTTTATTCTTCTTAACATGTGAAAATGTTAATGTTTAAATTATTCCCAAATTATTTAACAGCTTAGTCAACATTTTTTTTTGTATTTTTGAGACAGGGTTTCCCTGTAGCCCCAGCTATCCTGGAACTCACTATGTAGACCAGGTTGACCTCGAACTCACAAAGATCCGCCTGCCTCTGCCTCCCAAGTGCTGGGATTAAAGGTGTCTGCCACTATGCCTGGCAGTCAACATATTTTTAATTTATGATAAATCAGAGTAAAGTTTATTTCTCTATTAAGGGTATGACTTTTATTTTAATTTAAATGTATATATTTAAAATTTTATTGGCTATTTAAGCAAAATAATTTCAGATGATATACCCAGCTATAAGGAGTCTCTGGAACATAGTTATAAGAAAAAGGATTAATATTTTCAAAGTATTTTATGATGCCCCATTAGAAATAATGTTTATTTTTCAGATTGATATTTAAAAGTATTGGGTTGGTTCCAGTTTTGATGAGACGGCAGTTTTAATATATGTGTACTTTTTTAAAAATTTTATTTTCATCAAATTAAAATCTTCCGCTTTGCCCCACTTTGCTCACAGATCTGTTTTACTGATATTTTTTCTTGATAAATGAAATGAAGTAAATGTATGATTTACAAAGACAGGTAAGAGGCAGACCTCCACCGTTCTGTTTGTTCTCTGGGACTCTGGGTTGGAAGTCTCTAGTCAACATGTGTGCCTGGGGCCTCTGGCTGCCCAGACGCAGCAGCGTGGAGGTACCATGTGGAATTATTTGTGACCTCACACCCACCAGATCAGGTGATTGGAAATGCCAACATTTGGGTTCACTTAGGTGATTCCAGGAGGGGCAGGTGTGTAGTTCCCCCCTCAGATATCAGTTCTAATGACAGATTGTGATTGTAATACAAGTTGGCATTATGTGGAAATTGTTCCTTGGCAACAGAATAAACAGAAGAGATAATTCATTAAAATCCAACTCAGTCAATATGAAATTTGTAGCATTTTATGCAGAAAATTAGGGTAAGAAAAGAAATTCTCCAATCAAATTCATTATTGTGTACAACTTGAAGATATTCCAATATCAGTTCCATGTGACTATAATTCACCTGTAAAGCAACTTGAAAAACTTTAAAAATAACAAATTGTATTTTTTCAAAGTAAGAAAAAAATGCATCTACTTACAGGAAAACAAATACATCAGCATTAGTGCACAGAATCCTATAAGTTGTGGCTAGAAAATGTGTATATATATCATTAGGCTTGGAATTGCCTGAGCTGCTTCTAGTAAAAATGGAATGCTGTCATTTACTCTGGATGAGCTTCAGTGAGATAACACATAACGAGGGCCAACACTGAGGAAGGCATTGCTAAGGGGAGGGGCCCTTAAAATGGCTTTGATTTAATACAAGGCATGCACTATTAATAAAGAGGTTGAATGATACCTGTATGTTTTATAGGTTTATAAATTGGCTGTAGTAAAATATTTTACATCTTAGATCACTAGGTTTGTTTCAGCTTATTATGGGAGATATCTATCTAGAGTTGACTGAATTGTATTAATCTGAACCTAGTTTAATGATGCCTTAACATTTTTATGGAGGAATTTAATGTTTGCAATATCCATGTTCCTTATTTGAAAGCGTGACTTATAGGTTTCTCATCTTCCTTAAATTATAAAATCCTTCAGCTAATAAAGGAAAATGATTATAGTTTGCAAAAAAGGCAAAGTCATTTAACAATCCATATAACTGTCTATTGTAGGACTTTGTATAATAATTGTAATTTAGCTATTAGAGATTCTAAAGGCAGTTATCAGTCATACTCTCCAATTCTAGGGGAATCAGGCAAAGCCCAAATTATTTAAAGTATTTTAAATTCTCAAAGTAAAAGAGCATATCTTAACTTTAAAATATACTGTATGGTGACAAGATATTATTTCATAGGAAAAGAAAAAAGTCCATCACAATTTTCAAAAGCATAAGCCTCCAAAGAGATTAATTTTCTTCCTTTTGTATATCGGTATAGCACAAATTTATTTTTAATGACAAATATAAGCTGAATGACAAATATATATTTCTCTGTGGAGAAATCCAGACATGAATAATCATGACTGGTTGTGTTGGTCTGAATAAGAATGTCCCCCATAGGCTCTGAGTATTTGGACATTTTGTCCCCAAGTTGGTGGTGCTATTTTGGAGGTTTTAAGAGGTATGGCCTTGCTGGAGGGAGCATGTCACCACTGGGGACAGGTTTGAGAGTTCTTAAGCCTTGCCAGATTTCCAGTCACTTTCTATGTCTGCTTGAAGGTGTGATCCTTAGTCTTTCTCATCTGTCCAGCTCCTTCTGCCATGCTTCCCCCCACCATTATGGACTCTTACCCCTGAAACCATAAGCCAAACAAATTCTTTTTGTATATGTTCCCTTAGTCATAAGGTATTTAGTTTTGAAACTTTAGGGGGTATTTCTGCACAAATACATATTGAAAGCTAAAATTGTTGGTTGTGTTGGCATTAAAATCTTCCATTCATTTGAACAGTAATTCGAAGAAAAATTAAGTTGATCGACCTTGACTAGAATACTTTAAAATTTTAAATAAAAGATGCTAATAATATACGCACATTGTTATACCCACAATCAAATGGCAGCTTAAATATATAGTTTAAATATGGGGGCATTTCATCATTATAAATTGCAAGCTATTAATAAATATCCTCTTAAAGTTAAACACATTTGTTTGCAGAATAAGACTAATACAAAGTATATATATGTGTATATATATATATATGATATGTGTATATATTATATATGACCACAGTTTCATATCCATATGAATTTACATATAAATATACAATTAATTACTGTCTATTTAAATATGAATATGTCTTTCATTAATCAGTAGAAAGGATCAAAGTATAAAAGTAATAAGGCTAAAAAAATAAGAAGAAAGGACTGGGCATGGTGGTGCACACTTTTAATGCCCGTACTTGGGAGGCAGAGGCAGATGGATCTTTGTGAGTTTGAAGTCAGGCTGGTCTACATAGCGAGTTCCAGGCCAGTTG